ATGATTATAAAAAAGAGAGAGAGTGAGTCGGTGGGTGGATGAGCGAGTGAGTGAGAGAGAGAGAGAGCGAATGAATGAGAAAGTGAGAGAGTGAATGAGTGAGTAAGTGAGAGAGTGAATGAGTGAGTAAGTGAGAGTGAGTGAGTAAGTGAGAGAGTGAATGAGTGAGAGTGAGTAAGTGAGAGAGTGAATGAGTGAGTGAGTAAGTGAGAGAGTGAATGAGTGAGTAAATGAGAGTGAGTAAGTGAAAGAGTGAGTGAGTGAGAGAGTGAGTAAGTGAGAGAGTGAATGAGTGAGTAAATGAGAGTGAGTGAGTGAGTAAGTGAGAGAGTGAATGAGTGAGTGAGTGAGTAAGTGAAAGAGTGAGTGAGTGAGAGAGAGAGAGAGCGAATGAATGAGAAAGTGAGAGAGTGAATGAGTGAGAGAGAGAGAGAATGAATGAGTGAGTAAGTGAGAGAGTGAATAAGTTAGTAAGAGAGTGGGTGAGTGAGTAAGTAAGAGAGTGAGTGAGTAAGTGAGAGAATGAGTAAGTGAGTAAGTGAATGAGTGAATAAATGAGAGTGAGTGAGTAAGTGAGAGAGTGAGTAAGTGAGAGAGTGAATGAGTGAGTAAATGAGAGTGAGTAAGTGAAAGAGTGAGTGAGTGAGTAAGTGAGAGAGTGAATGAGTGAGTGAGTAAGTGAGAGAGTGAATGAGTGAGTAAATGAGAGTGAGTAAGTGAAAGAGTGAGTGAGTGAGTAAGTGAGAGAGTGAATGAGTGAGTAAATGAGAGTGAGTAAGTGAAAGAGTGAGTGAGTGAGTAAGTGAAAGAGTGAGTGAGTGAGTAAGTGAGAGAGTGAGTAAGTGAGAGAGTGAATAAGTTAGTAAGAGAGTGGGTGAGTGAGTAAGTAAGAGAGTGAGTGAGTAAGTGAGAGAGTGAGTAAGTGAGAGAATGAGGGAGTAAGAAAGTGAGTGAGTGAATGAGTGAGTGAGTGAGTAAGTGAGAGAGTGAGTGAGTAAGTGAAAGAGTGAGTGAGTGAGTAAGCGAAAGAGTGAGAGAGTGAGTAAGTGAGAGAGTGAATGAGTGAGTAAATGAGAGTGAGTAAGTGAGAGAATGAGTAAGTGAGTGAGTAAATGAGAGTGAGTAAGTGAGAGAGTGAATGAGTGAGTGAGTAAGTGGGAGAGTGAGTAAGTGAGAGAATGAGTGAGTGAGAAAGTGAGTGAGTGAATGAGTGAGTAAATGAGAGTGAGTGAGTGAGAGAGTGAGTAAGTGAAAGAGTGAGTGAAAGAGTGAAAGAGTGAGTGAGTGAGTAAGTGTGTGAATAAGCGAAAGAGTGAGTGAGTGAAAGAGTGAGAGAGTGAGTAGGTGAAAAGGGAAAAAAGAAAGCTACGCTATGATAAGAAAATCTTCAAAATTGTTACCTAAACATTGATATATATAAGAAAGTGACCATTTGAGTATCTTAAATTTTCGCGAAAACTACCTGCACTCCCAACAATACATTCCACTTGCATCAAGCGGAATGTGCTGTAGACTCTGGATATACACAGGAACGTTTTAAGGCAACATTTCCCGGTATGGAACAATATAAATCATTGGATGAATACCGTGCTGCATCGGCTGAATGTTTGCTTGATTAATACGATGGGTTTACAGAGTCCAAACCTCTTTCTAAGCATGAAATAATAAATAAGAAAACATCCACAGAAGTCTCCTTGAGGCTGGTTTTATACGCACATACATCAGTAATACATCATACCTTTTCCTGAACAATATCAGTGTGTATGTATTGCACATCAATGATAAGTTCTGATTGACTGTGCAGACCTACTGGATCTTTGGCTCAGTGATTTCATTATTACCATAATTTAGTTCGTAGGCCAGAGATTTGATACATGTATGAATATATACAAAAGAGGAACCTCCTGTTAATATATGTCTATATATGGAGATGTGTCAGGATCATAATCCATGCTATTATGACATGTTTTATGTGATTATTTGCGTCACAGTAGGAAAAGTGCACACACACACTTCCGGCTGTGTCCGGCCCTGCTGTTACTCATGTGTGCACAGTCTCTCAACCTCCTCTCTTTGACTATTGAGACGAAGGCAAGGGAATTTTATATCTCCTTCGAAACGATTATTGTCCTGAAAAGAAAAAAAAAAAAAATCCGAGTCATTATAGATTACTTGAAAAATAAGCATTTCAAGTACACACAGGGTAGAAGGGTTTATACAGTGAACATTTCAGGAGAAACGTTGCACATTTGCAACTTCAGACCTTCCTTCGTTACAATTTGTCACAGTGTACAGCTATTTTTTTCCCTTCTTCTAAATAATTGTGTCATCAGTCTATATTTGCTGCTCCCGTCTGGTGATACGATGAATAAAACCCTTTTTGATTTGAAATTTCTTTCCTCTGATACAATGTATTCTATATAGGAAAATCTGTTATGTAAATATTTTTATATACCTGCTAAATTGTATTATACGTTACTTGTAATCATCAACAACCTGCCATCATGTGTTTTTGTATATATTTTATGTGATGGAAGGGAGTTTACAAGATCTAGCAGTGAACTGTAGAAACAAAAATGAAAGCAAAAAGGAGTTTATAAGATAGAGGACACAGAACCATTTCACACAATCGTGTACTGAATAATATGCATTGGATTTAACTCATGGTAATTGGAATATGGTGTTCTGTCAGTTTTGAAACTGTAACATATCACAGAGGCATTAAAAAAAAAAAAAGTTAACATTTAAAAAAGTAATAAACATATATATAATGATACTGAAAAAAATTGATACTAAATGCCATCTTTCCAACATACAAATCTTAGATGCTGTGCTCAAATATTAAAACTTATGATTTAATTATATATATGTAGTGTGTGTGTATATGAATGATATGTTTTGTAGCTACACTTATTCTTTCCCTCTTACCTGTCCAATATTACTTCATGGAATACATTAAAAGAATGAGATTGAAGAAGAAACAAATGTCATTCTTTATTTCATCCGCTTTTTGGATTACTGAAAATTAGTTCAAAGTCCTAATGGCATTTCTCATATATATATATATATATATATATATATATATATATATATATATATATATATATATATATATATAATATATATATATATATATATATATATATGTGTATATATATATATATATATATATATATATATATATATATATATATATATATATTCCTTTTCATCTTCCTTTCCATGACTCTCTCTCTTTCTCTGTCTGTCTTTCTGTCTGTCTCTCTCTCTCTCTCTCTCTGTCTGTATGTCTGTCTATCTGTCTGTCTGTGTCTCTCTCTTTCTTTTTTCATTCCTCCCTCCCTTCCCCACCTTCTCTCTCTTTTTCCTTCTCTCTCTCTCTCTCTCTCTCTCTCTCTCTCTCTCTCTCTTCTTTCTCTCTCTCTCTCTCTCTCTCTCTATCCCTTCTCCCCCCCGTCCTTTCTCTCCTTTACTTCTTCCATCCTCTCCCTCTTCCTTCCGTTTCCTTCAAAGAAATCCAGGAGAAGCAATGCCTCTGGATTAGGAGTTTGAGCCGTACATATCTCTCATGAGTTTCACGTGATGACATCTGTTTCGTTCAAGGTCGGTTAGAGACTGCAATAAAGGAAGCTTAAGGATGGTAGTCATTATGATAAAGAATAGGATGATAACAGTTCTTATGTTGTGTGACTGGCTGGGTTTTCGTGTGTCTGTGGTCAGGATCCAACCACCGACATAATGAATATCTCAAGCTGTTTATATATATACATATAAAAAAAGAAATAACAAAAAATATTAATGTAAAAAAAAACATACAAAAAAAATTGATGTAAACTATATTTTTCCTACTCTTGATGGGGGCAGCAGATCAGTTTATTGTACATTTTCATGGGAAGTTTTTGTACGCCTAAACTGTGATAATCAAATTATATAATATAGACCGCAGTCTAATGTGTAAAAGAAAAAAAAAATATTAGCTCAGGATTGATATCAATGTATCGTGAAAATCTTGCAGTTTTATATCTTACTATGATAAAGTAAGAGATACGTGTCGCAACACCCAAGGAAAAGGGTTAAGAAAAGAAAAAAAAATGAAGAAAGAAAGAAAGATATATATAAAAACTCCGATGGAATCGAAAAATAGAGAAAGGATAAAAAGGTGGAAAATTTATTATATGTATCCGTAAACATCTTTGGAACGGAACTGATATTATATGTGCTGTCAAAGTGTTTCAACAAAACAACATTATATAGATACCGTAAAATTGCAAATAGTGTTGTGGATATATGTACATTCACAAGACATTTCAAAGTTATATTCGTTTGTGTTTTCCATCAAGTGTCCATTGTTCATCGAATAAGTGTTAAATATTCTATCACTCACAAGAAGAAACAAATATAAAGATAAAATGAAAGGTGAAGGAATAAAAGAAATATACACAGAGGCAATAAAAAAGTGAGTGCCTCATGACTGAAGCAACAAGTTCATTGTGCGAAGATCCCAAATTTCGAAAATATTGTATTTATGAAACAACTATACCAAAATGATCTTTAGTGATAGAAAAGACTGAGGAAAGAAAATGAGAGAACGAGTAAAAATACGAGAGAATATATAAACAACAAACAAACAATGGAAAGTGTCGGAGAAAAACCCGGATGTATAAATCTTTTGGACAAGATTGATAACGAGCTACGTAATATGATACAATCCACAGTGTGTCCTTTTCCGATCCTCTCATGAACAATGGCGTAACTTTGCCAAGAAAGTGTTACAAATATCATGACTCGAAAGTCGTGTGGAACTTACAGTGAAAAGAAAAAGAAAAAAAACTTTTATAAGGTTTAGGTTAGAGAGAAGAAGATAAATAAAAGAGAGAGAGACTCCTAAAGACTAATAATGGAGGGATGAGACCGAAAACCCTTGCTATATGACTCGACAAGGTCAGGATTCATTGTGGAACTTGACCTCAGGCAGTCAGAAACATACCACTATGTGTAGT